GGCCGGGGCGGGAGCTCCCCCTGCCGCCCACCGAGGGGTTCGCATCCAGCCGGGCCCCGCATCCCTGTGCGGACCCTTCCAGAGGGATCGCACCGGAGAACGAGCTGGAAACTCAAATCCGACGGCCCCAGTCCCGCACAGAAGGGACGCGCGTGGCAAGTGATGGGGTGCCACGAAAAAATCCGAGAGAAGCACGTGGTCGGTACCAGGTTTCACTGCCCTCGCTCTTTGCTCACTGCTCTCTGCAGTTAAGCCTCTGCAGGTGACAAAATCAAGAAGTCCAGAGGAGGCCACTAAGTTCATAAGAGGATAGAGAACTCTCCTGCCTCTGAAGACAGGCTAGGAGAGTTGGGGCTGTTCAGCTTGGAGAAGGGAAGGTTGCGTGGAGACCTCACAGCCCCTTCGAGTATCTGAAGGGGCTACAGGGAAGCTGGAGAGGGACTGTTCATCAGGAACTGCAGTGACAGGACAAGAGGGAACGGCTTCACGCTGAAAGAGTAAGTTTAGATTGGATACTAGGAAGAAATGTTTCCCTGTGAGGGTGGTGAGGCCCTGGCACAGGCTGCCCAGAGAAGCTGTGGCTGCCCCATCCCTGGAAATGTTTAAGATCAGGTTAGATGGAGCTTGGAGCAACCTGGACTAGTGGAAGGTGTCCCTGCCTGTGGCAGGGGGTGGAACTGGATGAGCTTCAATGTCCCTTCCAACCCAAACTATTCTATAGTTCTATAAGAACCTGCAAGAGAAAACACTCAGAAGACCCCCACCCCACCAGCAAACTGGGGCTGATGTCAGTGCAAGCTCTTGGTGCAGGATCCACAGAACAACAAACCAGGAACTCAAATGGCAACTGCAACTCTTTGCTCTTCAGGGTGGAAAACAACCGAAGGCATTTCCAGCCCTTAGCCCTGGGGCAGCATTTCATCTGGAGCTGGCAGAGCCCTGAGGACATGCTCACGCCCAGCACAACATCACCACTGAAGCCAAATTGGTGAGCAAGTTATAGTTTGTCCAGCAGTTCCTGCTCAGTCCAACTATACCCATCCAGGTCCTAGTAATAATTATTTATATATTTAACTAACAACGGTTATACAGGAAAATAATTATTTTCCTGTGCTTTGCTCCTTTCCTCAATTTCAAACACTGAAGAAAGCAGGTTCTCTGGTCTTATCCGAGATCCTCAATCACCCTGAGCTCTCAGGACACTGAGTGAATTAAGTCACTACATCACCACTATGTGTAAAATGGGAGTAATGTTTTAAAAAGCTAAATCTACTGCAAGGTTCAACTGCTTACAGAAATATTGAATATAAATAAACATTATTTGTATAAATACTTCTTCAAAATGCGGAAGTTAAGAGATACCAGATGGAGATCTGGTGCAATACTCTAGAAACTCTGTAACATTTTCCTGTATTAAAATGGTAAACATGACTGAATCAATGACTCACATTACTTGAAACACTCCTAGAAAGGGTCACAATTATGTTTTGTCTGAATGTCATTGAATATATTATCTATGGTTAAATATGTTATAACTAAATCATTAACTCTGATCCTGCATTAAAGCAAACTGAACAACATTCACTCATCTGGTATTTAGTGCTCTACCTCCAGTTAGAGTAGGAAGCAGGTGTGAGAAAATGCTATACCAAATCTCTTGCTGCTCCCACCATTCTCTTCCTCTTATTCCATATATTTCAAGTTCCACATTACCTCAAGAACTTCCACAGAGGGACAGATGCAGAGAAAACCAACACTGGTTTTGCTGTGTTGAGCAGTTTTGCCTCTTCAGTTCTACAGAGCTAAATGTCATAGAAATCCCCATTAATCACATTTACACCAAAGTTCAGAGAATCACAATCATTACAATGTGCAAAATTATATAATGGTATAAACCAACCTGCTCTAGGGCTTTTACCACAGGAAGTGTCATTTTTTAGGCTGGTAACTCTGCAACTTTAAAAAAACATGGATGAGAGATCCAGCCAGAGCTGATGGCCTGGCAGAGCTCAGCTGCCTTTGTGTAGCCACAGCTGGGAATTCAAGGAGACACTTCCACAGGGAGCAAACTGGCCTTTCAGAGGTCTCCCACCCCCTGGATACACTGCTAACAGCACAGCTAGTTCAACTATAATTTGTGCATTTTTATACCTGGACTCACAGCAAATTCTGGACATGCACAGAAAACACCTGTGGGACTGTGGGAACCAGAGGCATTTTCAATACACAACAAACACACATAATCAGGGGCAAATAGCAGCAGTTTTTTACTGACCATATGGAAAATCTGCATTCACGAGTGAGCACGACCCAGCCCGAGAGCTCACTGATTGTGTCAGATGGATCCTGTGCTGATACAGCTGTAACCAAGCAATTACACATCCCCTTTTCTGCCTGCCTGAAGCAAAAATTCAGCTTACAGCCAGCTAGTATGTGCAAATTCATGTTAAAGAGAGTGGAACCAACAATTAGCAACTTACTTTTCATAGTACAGAGTCAAATACACTATTAAAATGAAACTGAACAGTACAAAATGTTTTAGAACATATCTTCTGTTTCCAAGGTGCTAAACATGGGGGTTTTCCTTTCCCCCAAAATGTATTCGATAATTCTAGAAACTACCACAGATCACCAACTTTGCTACATTTTTTCCTGCTTCTGGCCTTCTTTGCAACAGCTGCAGAATATTCTGTCCCTTTGAAAAATGCACACAAGACACAAAGATTGTGCTCAACAGGTTTACTCAGACTGGACTCTTAAATGCTCAAGAAAAAGGCACAGATTAAAAGAGACTCTGATGACTCTTTTGAACACAGCAAATGGAATTCTGTTTATAAGGAAAAAAAATACTGCTATGAATTGTATGGGCTGAAAAGTTCAAATATTCTTCCCTGTTCCTAATTATTGGCCTTCATTAAAATGGAATTTAAATTAAATTGTATAAACATATGAAATAAAGTCTCAGTATTAGGAAGTTTTTTTTTCTTTTGTTTCCTCTATGTACAAATCTTAGTATACAATTTTTACTTTTCATTATACATTTAACTACATAATCTTTTTTCCAAAATGAGTGAGAGCAACTGCAAAGTATGTGTTTCAAGAAAATGCTTTGCATTCGGAAAGGATCCACCTGCTTTCTTGGCCAGCAGTGCCAATGAGAACTGAGGGGGGGGGTGCCAGGCTGGGGGAGCACCCCTCAGATGTAGTCGTCCTCCACGGGCTCCCCGTTGACGTCACAGTAGTGGATGAAAATGGCCACGACGCGCTGGAACACACCTTTCTTCATCTGCCGCAGCTCCGAGATCTCCTCCCCGATGGTCTCCATGCAGATGTCTGCAGACAGCTGGCCCTTCCTCCGGGGGGCATAGATAGTAGCTGGGAAGGAACACAAGAATAAAAGCTAGAATGTTTCCTGCAGAGAAGTTCACAAGCCAATCTGCTTTGCGTTAAGTCTTGGAAAGCAAACGGAAAAATCTTCCGTTGAGGAGCTACATTTAAGGGATATTATTCAAGCAGAAGAGGTATTCTGCCTTCCCTATATTGAAACCTTTCAGTAGCTCCCATACTTTTTAATGTATGTCAACTTCATGTCTGTGAGTGAAGGGAATCCCAGAGCAACACAAACCGTTCCCTGAGGCCTCTCTGACGTGCTTCCATGTTATCCATTCCAGTGATCACTTAAATGTTTTATAAACAAAAGCAATTAAGGATAAAGCAGAAGTCTCGTCTTTATTTTTAGGGCTTTAACATCATGTTTAATCTAATTACTCTTTTAAATCAAACACATTTAATTTTTTTTGGTAACTCAGCCTACGTACTGATGTACAAGCATTAAGTCTATGAATCAGTCTAAAATAAAATTCAAAAAAGAAAACCAGAGAAAGGTATAGCAGAGAAAATCTCTTCCTCATCCTCTTGAGATTCATGCCCTTGAAACAGAGCTAGATAAGAATATCCAAAACAATGTCAATTAAAAATAGCTCTAATGAAGGAGATTCCAAGATGTTCCTAATCAAGTAGTGGAGGAACATACTTTTCTCTGCTACCAAGCAAGGTCTTCAGTGGAGCCCTAGGAACTGCCTACTATAATATTTGAGAAGACAAGCTCCTAAATAGAAAGAGGCATATCTATAACAAAAACTAATCCACATCACCTGTTCCAGAGTTTTCAAGTCCAGTTCTTTCCTCTTTTACCCCAAGTTTGAGTTTTCACATTCTCTCTGCTGGACTCTCTTCAGCCTACCTTAACAACCTTCACAAAGCAAAGCCAGAGGCAGCAGTTCAGCTGAGCCTTCAGCACCAATGCCAGTAAACTCTACAGAACATAAATTGCTGGGACTACACACCACAGAATTAACTTTGTGTATGTTTTAAATGCATCCAGATGTGACAAACCCATCACACTTTCAGGCTGAGCACCAGATGGGCTCTGTTTCTGTCAGTGTTAGGGGCCCCAGCTGCTCCTTACACTGCTGTAGCACTGTTGCCCTCTCCTTTGCTGGACTCATCCAGCTCTCAACACAGTCTATCAAAAATAGCCCAAGAACTAGAAAACTGAAAAATAAAGGTCAGCTTGGGACAAGCAACAAGTTATTTGAACACATCAAACCAGATTACGCACTTCTTTCATCATCCTCAAAGTCATATCTGGCATAGCTGTTGGGCTCTGCTGTTCTCAGGGACCTCAGCCACGGGAAGTCAGTGATCATGGAGTAAGGAGCACCATCCACAATGCCTAGGAGACAGACAGGATGAGGATCCAAAGAGCACAACGTCGCTCCTGCAGCATCATCACTCTTCATCAAGTAAACTTGATTATCACATAGACCGGTCACTCTAATGCAGGAAAAGCATCTCCTCATTTCATTCCCCCACTGTGCCAAGGTTCCTCCACTTTCCTCCCAAGAATTATTATCCATGTCTCTTGTAATGATGCAAAGCTACTTATCTCAACAAGAGACCTGTCACCAGCCTTCAGCTGTCTATGAACACTCACCTTCTAGAGTGTAAATATCTCGTCCCCAAGGGTACTTAGTGTATTTCTTCAGGTCTTCTTCAGTTCGTGTAGCTTCAGGGAAGAACTCATATTTAATAAGCTCTCTAGAGAGAAGGAAGAGATTATAGCCAGGAGTGATAGGAAATGGGAAGGTGGGGGGGAAGGAAAACAAAACGGGAAATCCTACTGCACAACCTTTCCTTTAATGAGCCTGAATCCATAGAAGCACTTCTCCAAGACCCTCACACTAACTCAGAATCAATCCCTTCCCTTTGGAGAGCAACCACAGCCAGCAAGTACAGTTTGGGTGAGAAACCAGAGAAGGTATCATCTTTGAGCACACCTTTCTATCCGACTGAGGAACAATTCAACAGAGTTGCAACTAAACCAAACTTCAGAAGTAAATTTGCTCTCTTAGTAATTTTAGTGAAAAGCCAGCACAACAAAAACACTGGTTAAAAACAGCTGGATGAGAGTCACCTCCTGCTGATGGGAATTCTAAGGAGCTCATACTGATTGAAAATCACCTTCCACAGAAACTAGTTCTTGGAGTAAATCACTCTTTTTTAAAGGTAACTTGTTTTCAGATTTGAAGATATTTCTCCGCCTTCCTGACTACTTCAATGTACAATTGTATTATTGTTGCATGAATTATATGATGAATTCTATGGTTATTGTAGGAGAATTTGTAGTATTTTCCACATGGAGAGGTTTATAGTCTGTGTTTTGTACGAGATGCATCTTGACACTGAAATTCTACATTGCACCATCTAGAATTCAAATTTCCCCAGTCACCAAAGCTTTTTTCTTTGATTTGGTTTGACAGAACCCAGCAGGTCTGACTGAAGCTGCAGCTGCTCCCTGAGCAGTGAACACCTTTTCTGCACAGTCCCTGAAGGGCAGGTACTCACTGGTTGATATTTGCTATCGTGTCCATCCAGCTCCGAACTCGCACCTTGTTGCGGACATTGGGGGGGTTACTGAACTCATGAATGATGCAGATGTGGTAGGGATAAGGGCCACTAAAGATCTTCTGCTCCAGAGTCAATGTGTCAACCTGGGAAAAGCAGGAAACAAAGACTTGTGACCAACAGAAACAAAGAGGTGTGATTTTAGAGTCAAGAGCACACAGACATCCAAACGCCCCAAATTCTGGGGGAATGTGTCCAGTAAAAAGAAATTTTAACAACATACATAATTAAATAAATGATTAAAACTTTCCTAGTGCAGCTTTGTCAATGAATCTTCTGAAGTAGTGGAATTGGACAGGAAATGTCTATTTCCTGATGTGTTTCACAATTCCAATATGTAAGTAAACTTCATAAAATTACATAACAGTCTAAAACTACATTCACATCTCAGAATTTGTCTCTGGCTTAGGGGGAGGGGGTTGGTGGTTTGGTTTTGGGTTTTTATTACTCCTTCATTTTTATCCCTCATTGGGAGACCAAGCCAGAAAGCAGGAGAGAAGCAGCACCACAAGTACAATACAGAATGCTCTGGTAAGAGTGATAAAGTTAACCCCCCCCAACATTCCAGATCTTAAATTAAACCCTCTTAAATACTTGTGAAATGACCTAAACTCATTAAATGTCACTTCTTACAGCTCCCTGTACCACAACTGTCTTAAAACACTGTTCAGCATCACAAGAGGATGCTGCCTTCAGCAGAATTGTCTATTCCAAACTCTAACTGCTGTTACTAAATCTAATAGAATAGACTTAGATCAAAGATTTCAGATACCTGTGCCTATGTCATGCTTCTGCTTATATATAGCTATAAGCTGGCTTATAGTATCACTTAGCAACTTATAGTAGCACTTAGGTTCTTACAGTTCCTTTGAGTTCTCAAAGTTTCTTTTAGTTATTCAGTTTGAAATTAGTTCAGTGCATTGCAATGTCTTACAGTATCTTCTGATGCAATGAATACTGGAGATAATAAGATTAAGTCTTAAAACTCAGTACCATCCAAGTTCCAGATTCTGCAATAAAAGCCTTGATGGTCTAAAGTTTTAATAAGCAAGTTTCTCAGAGCTGTGTTACTGTAACTTTTACATTTCTCGCATCAATTGAAAACCACAGGCAGAACTTCAGGTGTGTTCACAATGAAATCCAGGTTGGTTGTGTACCTGCTGCATTGGACGAAGATAAATGATCCTGTTTCTTTCTGGTGGCATCCTGAGAATCTGATCCAGAACCTGATCCATGTTTAACTTCTTGCACTGGGCATAGTCAAACCGATTGACAACTGGTGCATTTTCTACTTTCAAGTGTTTCAACACACGGCACCTTGTAGCTATAAAAGAGTAAATGAAATTATTAAAAGAAACAATACTGAAAAGACCTTAGGAGCCTCCTGTCAGAGATTTTCAAGGCTGACAGTTTCTAAAGAAGGCAAACAAGTAATGTAAGTACCAGAGAATAACTGAAGTTAAGCTGGCAATTTAAGTATATCAGAGAAATACACCAGCTGTTCATTTCTTCCATATTATGATCAAACTTTTAATTCTTGAACTTGTAAGAAGGATCCTTTTAAAAGGCCATGTCAAATTTCTTCTAACAATAACCTTTTTCTCCCTTTGTTTCCTTTCACAAAGCCTCCTGAAATGGTCTGTGGACTTGCACAATTGAAAACCACTGACTTCAAAATCAGATCAAATATAGAGTATTGTGAAGCCACACAATGGAAAATAAAGCTATTTCCTTTCTAGCAACACTGCTCATTTAACCAAAATTTAGTTCAAAATCAATGTATGTTCTGAGATGTACTCTGGAATAAAGAAATCATTTCTTTATTCTCTGCTAGGTAGATATATGTCATGTCAGAAGAAAAGGTCTTAAGTGTAGATGTTGCAGAAAACAGTAAATGATCCAATACAGGAGCAGTCACACACCCTGGCATGTGAAGTGTTGTAATTGAAAACAGATTTTTATCATGTCAAGGAGGAAAGTATCATCATGTCAGCTAAATAATCTATGGAAGCATGAAGAAATGAGAGAATAAAAACAAGCTACTCTGAAACTCATTTCATCAACTTCCAATTATTGTATTATCACTCTCCAATAAACTACTCATCTTCCTAATTGTCAGATAATTTCATCTGTTGATTTGCAGATATTAATCTTTATTAAACCTGTTATAAGGAAAGGCACTCAAACTGAGAAGCAGCAATATTTGGTGTTCTAAGCATCAGCCTGACAAGCAGCAATGCAGTTGATGAATACAAAATAAGCAATGGACTGACTTTAATTGTTTCAAGAATTCCTAATAATGCCAGATGGAGGAGACAAGCAAAACATGAACTACATACCATGTATGAACATCATTTTGGGGCAGTCTTTCAGTACCAAATCTGTTATTCCACAATTGGTCAACGTGATTCCTACAAGGTTTTTGGATTTCAAAGTCAGTACCTGGTGAAAATTTAACAAAAAAAAAAAAAAAAGAAAAAAAAAGAAAAAATGTATGACAGGGTAAAACCAAATAAAAACTTACACTGAATTTTAAAATATACTGCCAGATATGGAAAGATATTAACTGCATACTACTCAATATAATACAGCTTCAGTTCACAAGGGGTATTTGAAGTTACAGAGTAGGCTACTGGTGATTTATCAGCTATAGCTGATAAACCTGTAGGAAGTGAAGAAAAAGCCCTTACTTGAACATGATCATCTTCAATAACTGGGTCACTTGTACTTGTGGACTTGTCAGCTGTCCTTTTCCTCTTGGTAGTTTGCCGTGGCTTTGGCTTGGCTACTTCTGGAAACAAAAACATGGAAAAATCTTTCCTCTGTTACATTTCAGGATAACAGTGGAGGAATTCCCTGGCTGAAAATGGCCAATCAGAACATACATTTCTTACAGATCAAAACATCTGTGTGGCTTGAAAACAACTTTATATCTTCTTGTACAAAACCCGCTTTCAGGTTTGTGCTCAGAATCATTCACACTAAATAACTTGGGGCAGGGGGTGGGTTGTTTACAGATGAAAACACAGGAATGTTGAACCTACAAGTTCAACATCACTGAAAGATGTGGAGCCAAGAAGAGAACAGAAGATTAATTGTTAGGTTACTGCAGCAAACAGAACAACCTTGACAAATATAAGAACCAAAATAGCTTTAATGTTTGAATAGTAGAAATAATCTCAAACTACTTGAAAGTCTGCTCTTCATTACTGTCACTAAGTTTTTCATAATATTGCAAAGGATACCCAGGTATAAAATACTTAACATTCCCAAGTTGCTTCTTACTCCATTTCATGCACCAATGACATCAAATTCCTGCTTGATTTAAAGGATGAGTCTTCAAAAAGAAATGACCACTACCATTACTTCCAAGAGCAAGAGAAAAAAAATGCCCTAGAATTAATTTTCTGTGATTAACAGACCAAAATTAGAAATTATTTTACTAACAATAAGCCTCCTTTGACTTTTTTCTTAAAACACATGTCATGTCCAAGAAGATTCCCAGTCAAAATAGATGTGCAAAATATTAAAGTCTATATACAAACTACTCACAGAAACATGGAATGGTCTGGGTTGGAATGAAACTTAAAGCCTAAATTCCACCCCCCTGCCATGGGCAGGGACACCTTCCACTAGCCCAGGTTGCTCCAAGCCCCGTCCAAGCTGGCCTTGAACACTTCCAGGGATGGGGTAGCCACAGCTTCTCTGGGCAACCTGGAATGTACCTCACAACCTTCACATACTTCATGCTAAACTACCATTAACATTAAAAAATACCTCTTTTTTTACTTATAATAAAATTCTATCTATCTATATATATACATAAGCTATTATGTGGCATCCAGTGGGCTGTGAGCTTCAGAATTCTGGCCACTGCTTTAGGGGATCAGGTTGAGAGATGGAATATTAATACTCGACTTGTGGCACCTGTGAATCATCATCCCCAGGGAACTTTCTGACAGTTCCTGGAGTATTTTCAGACAGTGAAATACCTCTTAGTCTGATTCTAGGAAAAATTTTCCGATTTTGTGTAGAATTGTTTGAGATGCAGCCTTGGGCCAAGAAATCTTTACAGAAGGTTTAAAGTAATGTGCGCTTTAAAATGTGAAAAGCTTCACTACAAATACAAACTAAAACAAGTTTAAAAAACCCCAACAGTACAAGTGTGGCTTACATTTTGATTGAAGTAAAAATCAAAATTACACAAGTCATCCTCTAGCCAGTTAGTCTGTGGTGATAATGCTTTTAAAATTTCAGTCTTTAATATTTGGCTTAAAGCACTGTTTAGAATGAGTAAATCATTTAAGAGAAAGAAAAAATCTTTCTAATATTAAACACAGTTTGTTACAGAAGCTGAAAACCACAATGTCCTTTATGTTAGAATAGCAGAAAGCTGTCATATTCAAGGCACATTTTTAGACCATTTATGGAAAAAACATTTCCAACTGTGCAACAAAGCATTTTCAGGTTATACTCCAAGGAGCTGTATGTTCTGTCCTAGTAATGAAAAGCCCTGTAACACCAGGCAGAAGCAGCCTCACTGTCCTATGTGTAAAACACAGATTTAAAAAATAAAAATGGTATATCAAGTCTCATATTCTGCCTCAGGCATCAGCTAACACCTGATGCTTCAAAGAGGAAAAGTGCATAAAGACATACTCATAACTGTATGGAGCTAGGAAAGCAATTCTTATATATGCTAAATATAGCAAATACTCAACCATTTTTCTCCACAAGCAGAACAGATCTTTTTTCCTGACTAAAAGCTGAAACCTGAAAACAGAGATACTCTCAGAAAGATACCCTAATTTAATACTGAGATCTGACTTAGCTTCATGCATTGGTAATGGCTGAGGATAGAGGGGAAATATTTTCTTTTGATTTTTGCAGATTAATTATTACTCATAATGGGCAAGGTAGAAAACTGACATTTTAATTTAACAGGAAGATCATCTCTTCAATCTGAGATGTGCCTAGCTGCAGAACAGCATCCCAGGTGATTCAGGTTTCATTAGCACTTGGGCACATTAAGATAAACTGGAGAAACACCAGGACATACTGTGTTTGAATCATTCCATGTTAACAGAGGTACAAATTTGCTATCAGTCTTTTCTACCTCCAACACACACAGACTTTTCAGTTTCATTTTACTTGCCAGATTTTCTCAATAAAGAATCCTGGATATATGAGGTGGTGCCAGACTAAGATCACTATTTTGGAAACCAAGTATATTTGAAAGAAACAGCAAGTTCCCTTCTCACATCTATTCTTTTCTCCCTTCATTCCAGCCCTTCAGGATTTTTATTTTATTTTATGTAAAATGTACAAACCAATAATGTGAAGCACAAACCTATTTAACAAAAGGACCATTTTGAACAAGTTTGATCACCATGCCTTATACACTTGGAAGCAGAACCCAATATGCAGGCCCACAAGCTTGGCCCAACTATAATTACTGGTTGATAAAGTACCAGTTATTAACCTTTGCCTTCTTGCCAAGATGTAAGTGTACCTGCTGTCTTCCTCCTTTCGAAGGGAGGATTTTAATAGGGGAGACAGTCTTATGTTCCAATGAATAACAGCCTTCACAGAAACACAGAGCTAACAACAGAAGTTGCAACTGCTTTTCAAATGAGTAAATCAAATACGGTTTAGAATGTAGGGATAACACATTCAGAAAGACTTGCATGGAGAAAAAAAGTCACTGGTGTTTTCAGAGAAATCTCTTATTTTACCTGGTCATGGCAGTGACATCAAGTAATTTCTGTTCCATCAGTATTCAGACCCTTTGACAAGCCACTTGGTTTTCAATTACTAACTAACAAATTTCATGTTTACCACCAGTACTACCTGTGGGTGTTGCAGCTGCTCAGCGCCGTCCCATGGTAGCACTGCAGCTTACTCAGCCGTTACTATCTGTGTGTAAGTCATACCTGGCTCCGACACCAGAGGGACGTGGGTCAGCTTGCTCCTGGCTCTGGTTAGTGGTCGGCGAGGATACTCCTCCTTGTCCTCCAGCTCACAGCTCCTGGGCTGTGTGCCCGTGCTCTGCTCCTCGCTGGCAGCCCCGCAGGCACTCCCACTAGTCCTCTCCTCCCCTGTGTCTCCTGCAGCCCCACAGTTTGGCCGTGTCCTAAGTGCAAAATCTGCCCCAGCGCTGCTTGGTCCGTTCCTGCAGGCTCCGCTCGTGGATGGACATTCCCCATCACAACCCCCACTAGTCCTCTGCTGTGTGTCCTGAGGCTTGTAGGAGGAACACCTGGAACAAACAGAGCTCTCCTCAGTCTCTCTCTCACTGGAACCTTCCCGTTTACAAGGCGAGCAGACACACTGCCTGGATTCCTCTCCAGCTGCTGGGCTGGTGCCAGCACAGTGGCCATGAGCTGTCTGTGCACAGTCAGGGCTAGGAGAAGCAGCACTGCAGGAGCTGGATGTTCCCGTTGATCCTGTAGCATTACTGCAGCTTGCATAAGGATCTTTGCTTTTGTTCCTTTCAGGCATGTCACTTGCTGCTTTCATGTCTGCTTTAATCTGCTCACTGGTTACTTGACAGCCTTTTTCACAGCTGCTTTCCTCCGTGTGGAACTGCTTTGTCTGGCCCCCTTGGCTGGCACTGCATCTTTTCCGCAGGGGTGTCTTGCCTTTACCACTCACTGTGAGAATCAAGGAAGGGAGAACAATGAGACAAGCCACAACACAGCTTAAATAAATGCTGAGTGCTACTCTGTTAAAGACTACTTAAAACAGAAGGCAGCCTAGAGGCCAATGACAAATCTCATCAGGACCATGCTATGTTATGGGAATTATTAATATTTCTAGCAGTTGCTCACTCTCGGTGATGTCCTGCAGCTATTTTTGTAGTGATGTGCTGGGGTGTTTGTCAGTAAATGAGATATAAATCTGCCAGAGAGGCTCATATTGTCACAGAGCAGCTCACTGTTTAAATAGGCCAAAGCACAAAAATATGAGAGACACACTAAGAATAGAATAACAGAATGGCTCTAAGGGACCTTAAAGATCATCTATTTCCAATCCCTCTGCCATGGGCAGAGACACCTTCCACTAGACCACATTGCTCCAAGCCCCATCCAACCTGGCCTTGAACACTTCCAGGGATAGGGCAGCCACAGCTTCTCTGGGCAACCTGTGCCAGGGCCTCTCCACCCTCACAGGGAAGAATTTTTTTCTAGTATCCAATCTAAATAGGCTTTTCTTTTCCTTAATAGGAGGTATACAAATGAGGAATCAAATAGTTACAGAGACAGTACTAAAGTTCTGCTTTCAGTTGCAATCTTCAGCTCCCCCTCCTGGGTATGGGGTGTGGTGTCAGTAGGTAACAGCAGGCTCAGTTCACAGATGAATAAAAAGTCACACCAAACAATGCACAAATCACAACAGGAACTTAATCACAGAATCATTTAGGTTGGAAAAAACCTCCAAGACCATCGAGTCCAACCTGTGCCCAATCACCACCTTGTCAACCAGACCAGAGCACTGAGTGCCACGTCCAGGCATTCCCTGAACATCTCAGGGGTGGTGACTCCACCACTGCCCTGGGCAGCCCCTTCCAATGCCTGACAAACCTTTCTGGGAAGAAACTCTTCCTGAATGTCTACTGTCTCTGCTAATTACACTAATCCAAGTCCCAAATCCTCATTATTGACAGTACAAAAGTTTATGCAAATTCTGTCCAAACAGAGGTTATTTCGTCCTCAAACCAGAACTGACACTCACACTACAGGCACAGCACTCTACATGTTCCCAAGGTAGAACTGCCAGTCTTGTTGAAATAAATGTACTAAACAGGAGAGGGACTGATGTGTAGGGAGTATGCCAGTTACAGCAGGAAGAGCCATTACTGCTTTGCTAAGTCCCAAGCTTTGCAGAAGTTAAACTAGTCCTAGACCAGTGTATTTCTCAGTTCTTCACAATGTCAGATTTTTCTGTTAACTGCTTAGCTAAATATTCCTTAAGGCTTAACACTATATTTACTTCATCTGACAACACAGCTGCAAATTTGGCTTCACAGACATGATAAATTCTGGCCACTTGGAAATATAACAAAGCTAGACATAAAACTGAACAAGATGGAAAGACTGAAGCTTAAAAATAAGTGTTGCTTAACAGTGCCCAGGAACCCATCCGTTCCACACCTGAAGGTTCTCTAGTTTCCACTGGATCTCTGCTTTTCTCTTCTCCATCTGAGTAATTCTGTGCAATGCTGTTGGAGATGCAGGCTCTTGAAGTCCCCATGTTTTCCTCCTCATCTTCACTGTCTGAATCATGGATAGTAATAGGTGTTGCTTTTACAACAGGCTGAATGCCACTTGGTCCTGAAAAGTAGAATACCAACACTTCATGTAAAAATAAGCCAAACGTGGATTAAGGTGCTGAAGAACTTCTAAAAATGCTTGAAAAAAATGGTAAAAAATTAATTTAATTAAATTAGCCAACCATTCTGTGGCTCCTCCATTAAAATCTAAATAGAAGAGGAGCATTTCAGCACTAAAGCATTCTAGTTTGGAAGGGGAAGAGTGTCACAATGGAAAACAAAACACAAGTTTTCTGTAATGTTTCTCTGCTTCAGAACAACTTAAAGGTTCTTCCACAACTGTATGAGTAAACTACATATTACAAACAGTCCCTGAAACCTCCATCACAACGACAGAAATGTTGGCCAGAACATTGGCATTTATCCTTCTAAACCTTGAAAAACTGAGCAGATCCAGCATAGAAGGGTGTTACTTCATGTTGTTGGCATATTCAGCAGAAAATTATGTTGTCCAGCAAATAGTGGCTATAAAAGAGATCAAGACTGCTTTGTGTCACTAACACAAATAAAATTAACACTAGAACAAGTTGTTCTGGTTTGGAAAAAAAAAAGGCAAAAAAGAATCCACATGCTGCAGTGAAATAAGTAAGGTCATCAACACCAGAGGCACAAGACAAGTTCATTGAGGCCTTCTGACTCTTATTATACTGAGTACAAAAACAAGGCTTTAAGATCAAGGTATTTCACTCCATATGCAAAGAGAACTCTGGACTGTAAAACAGACTTTAAAACAGAATAAATTTCTTCACAGAATTGAGCTGTGCCAGCATCACAATTCCAAACACAACAGACAATGTAGCTAAAGAAAAGCATCCAAAACCAGACTCATATTGAAATATTTACCCCCTCGAGAAGGAGATACCAAAAGGTCATTTCTTTCCAAAGACAGAGTTACCTGCTTGCTCTTCATCCACCTCCATAGGAACAACAGCTTGGCTGTGAGCCGGGAGCTCATTCTGGCCCTGCCCAGCAGCAAACTCCTCTTCCTGTGCCACCTCCTCCATCTCATTCAGTGCTGAAAAGATGAAGACGAGGTCAAGAATAGGAAACAGAACGAACAAAGCCCACAAGCACCCACAGAGAGTCAGAATCACCAAGAAATAAGTAACAGCTGCCTTGATTCCTTCAAGGAGTCTCTGGGTTGCATAAAGTCGCTCACATATTTGTTCTACATCTCTTTAGCCAAAGCCCCAGCCTAACTTTTAGGGTTTAGTTCACCCAAATTTTCCACTCCTCCTCAGAAGTCTTGTTCTACCACAGTGAGCAGCATAACCAGGATTTGCATATTCATTCCTTCCAATGACTTTTGCCTTTGCTGGGAAATATTAAAAATATACCATTCAACACTGATATTCTCCCAGCTCTGACCAGAGGAGTCTAGAAAACGCTTGGCACTTCCCCAGAGGAGTCACACAGACTGTCCCTTGCTAACACCTGTACTGACACACATCACTGCCCTGCAGTGTGCCTGTAACAGCCATCAGACACCACACAATGACAGCTTTTATCACACAGGTATCAGAGACATGCAGACAGCCCCCCGGAAGGATTAAAGCTACCAGGAACTGAAAGAGCAACAAGCTTTCCATATATACCTTCTCTATCACCCTATGTATGTCAGTGCAAATAAAATCACTTCCTACACAGGTTCACAAAGATTACCCTCAGCTGCAATCTGCTGCTCCTCAGCTTGACCATCTTGCCGCAGCTCATTCTCCTCATTCTGGTCATTTGGGTGTTGGTGATTGTTGTGGTGGATGTTTGGGTTATTGTTATTCTGGTGGTTATTGTTGTTGTCATTGTCATTGTTAGAGTTCTGATTGCTGACTAGGGCAGAGGAGACCCCAATTCCTGTGCCTGCACTTAGGCCCACACGAGCACAACCCTGAGAACAAAAAGCAGCTATTATTAAGATTTGGAAAAACTGATAAGTTACCTCAACAACATTCCCTAACGCCAACAGAAAAAGCATTCTGTTGGTAATGTCTGGGATAGCACAACACTAACAGGGAGACTGTCCCTCATATTTCCTTATGCATTGCAGAGGTCCATCTTCAGGTTGGTAACCCAGAACACTTACACTCTGTTAAACTCTTACTGAAAGGGAATTCCACAAAGCACATAATTTTACTTTATTGTTTTCCATTTGCTAAAGGATCATATTACATTAATACAAACAGCAGATTATATATATAGCCTTCCCAGAACACAGCAGCCTCAAGATAGAACTAGTGACTGAAGAAAGCAGTTTTTTACGTAGGCAGTTTCCATTGCATTACAGCAGCTTAACAAGGATTTATGTTACAGTGTGGGAGGGGACAACACGAAGAAATAAAATTCCTAAGCTTTGAAACCACTCCAAGAGTGGAACAGTACCCTTATTTCACCCACTACAAAATCATAAAAACCTCTTAGCATTGTAAACAGATCCCCAAGTGTGAAAGAAATCGTATAAAAAGCAGCAGCAAAATGAAGTATCCACAAAGACCTCAACAGAATCAATGTGAGTCTTATTTTCTGGTCACATATTCATACAAGATCATACCTTACCACTGCTCCCATTTGCAGAAGCATCATCATTCTCCCCAGCATATCATGATAATAACAACAGCAAACCAGAATAATTTTATTAGCAATCTATTTAATTAATCACAACTTTTAAAAGAATGCATAACAGCTGGAACACACTGTATTTCCAATGAGCTGGCAACAATAAAAAGCAAAACCATTCTCTGAAACTCACCTTAGGAGGTTCTCTAAACATCTGGTCCAGAGAAATGAATTCTAAGCTTGGCAATAACTCGATGAACTGACTAAAAGAATCCAGCTTTATGGCGTGGCAGCGCACCAGGGTGAGGTCAACCAGGCGGGTCCACCTCGAGTGATCTGCGGGAGAGAAGGGAAACATTTCCTGAAGGATTCCCATCTCACTTGTTTGTCATCATACCCCTTTCAGATTTGAGAGGAGCATCCTCTGTATCTCCATTCTGACTGTCACCAGCATCACTATGGTTCCAAATCAAGCACCATCTACTGTACTTACTAAGAAATAGAACAAGCAGTACTACGAGCAGAGAAATTCTGATTTACTAGCACAGTAATTCATATAATAGCTCCAAAATTTCAAAGGTGTGCAATACCTGTGATCCAATTATTTGGGTTATGTAGATGTGGGCAGTTGTAAATGACCAGATACTTGATGAAAGAAAAAACTTCATTTACAGCTTTCATACCAATATCTGTAATAATTCCTGGATTTTCAACCACATCAGCCAAGCCGTACCTCACCAAGTCTGTACTCGTCATTTTACCTAAGAAAAAGACAGTAGCAGACACAGCAGTAAATTTGCCTTTTATAGCATGATTTTCTAACTCCCTGTTTTAGCCCCATTTCATAAAACTGATCAGATTATTCCTTCAGTTCAGTAAAGCTGAGACTTTCCCAATTTCACTAAGTGTTTCAGGAAGTGAGGAAACACATATATGGCTGTATGAAATCAGCAGCCTCAATATGGGCAACGTTAAAATTCTTTTTAATCACTCTTAGCACGTGACTGAAAACACATAATTCACATAATCCTTATGTTTGCCAAATAATTTATGTATATAAAAAAAGGTCATACACTGTAATAAAAACTCATCAACGTATCCTAGATGAAGAGTTTCAAACTGTGGAAATTCCAGTTCAGCCATCTTCAAAGCAGAAAAAACACCATCTTTGGTCAAGGAAGGCTGGATCCGCACTTCGTGCAACCTGATTGCAATTAAGAATTGTTAATTGTAATTAAGAATTTTTCCTATTAAAATTCATGCCAAAAGACAATTGCCACAGGAAACACTCAAGGAGATGACCTCTCAAAATGAAAGAATTCTTTCAGTTGTGGCAGGATTCAGAGGCTATCTGCTGTATCTTTATGGCAGTATTTGACAGTTACATATATTTTTGTATATATAAAATATATAGTATATATAATATTTATTATTTACAATATATGATTTATGGTGATATATTATTTATCATTAATATATAAGAATATATTGTGAGACCAACAGCACCACACTTTTCAGATACAAGTCTTATGACACAAATGAATTCAGAAACAGACATACTCCAGTTGTTTGCACCACAGAACACTCCTGTTATATCAACTTTAAATGTGCATTCCGTAAACTTTTGACAGTTGTTCTGCTTCTTGGACTTCATTACTAAGTCATTTATTTTCAAAAAGGAGAAGGGAGGCAAAGAGAGACCTGAAGGCCAGTACCTTCGTGCAGCAGTTATGATGAGGTAGCCAAGATCCACTTCAAGTGCATTCTTGCAAGCTCCCAGAACTATAGTGTGCAAATTCCTAAAACCACCTGGCAAATAAAAAACAACCTTCTTTCACTTCAGTCACAGATCACAACCTTAAGCCTTACACATTTCCATCAGTGTTGTCAAGTGAATGAACAAAACACGACTTTTTCAGCAAATCAATAAAACCAATATTTGCACCCAGCTCTCCTCCAATCCTACTAGTTCTGCTCACCACCAATTGCAGCTGCAGGCAGGTCATCAGCCGAGAGCTAATTGCAGTTAGAATATCAAAACAATACCAGATAAAAAGTATATTTAGCACCATAACCATGGTGCTAACCATTCCAAACTTGGAAATAGGGATCAAGAAAAGATATGCTACGGACAAAAAAAGCTAAGCTTCACATGCCTCCAGTATTTGCTAATACTTTTATTTATTTACTTATTTTTCTTTTAAGTACGAGGGACAAAAACTTCCATACCTGATCTCCAGCTATCTTCTACCACGTGCTGGATAAGTCCTCCAAGAAATGGAACACGAACCAGTTCTAAGTGCTCCAAATTTCGAGCAGAAGCCAGGCCTGTCACCAGGGGAACGTACTTCAGAGAATTTGTGGGTCCTACACAGAAAAGGCCAAAGACAAAGCAGGTTGCTCACTTGACATCATTGAATTGATGCTTTCAATGACTGTCACATGAAAGAATTAAAAAATGTCCACGTATATCCATCTAGATCAGGAAGTCAAGAGAACCACAAAGCACCAAATAACGTACAGGACAGGGGTACATTTCTGTCCAACACCACGAATAAAACAACAACTGCTTTCAGAATCTTGAATTCCAAGACTTCCATTTACACTTGGTGCCTGAGCAACTTTAACAGAATCAGATTTCCTACATGCTCTAACATCCCCTTCACGTATGAATCCCTCTTACCAGCACAGTTCCTCATGACAAAAGCACGTAAGCTGATACAAAGGAAATCTTTAAAAGGCTGTGGTTTGGTGAGTCTCACCCACTTCAAATAAAGGTGCCTCAGCATTGGAATACAAGGAATCTCAGGGACATTCACCCCTAGTAATATATAAACAAAACAAACAAATATTTTAAACAAGCTTGAAACCACAAACTGTATGACAAATTTCTGGCTTTAAAAAGGAAGTTTTTCTTGGCTATGTGGCATGTGAGAAAAGCTGTAAACACTTTAAATACAAGTTCTTCACCTCGGTTTGTCAACACAGTTTTTTAGAACTTGCCTTTTGAACCTGCTATCACATATACGGCAACTAATATCTCAAAGATACCACAGCCCAAAGTCCCTTTCTTAAAAAGAATTACAGTCTTGCAGAGTTTCAAAGCCTTTAAGTTCACCTGTGTTGAAGCCAACTACTTCATCATTACCACACTCACCTACTAAGTGCAAAGTCTGAATTTTAGCTCCTACAGGTATTTTCAGCTTGTTCTCAGGAGGAATTGGAAAAGCACCATTACGATTACGAAACTTCCCTAAAATGTGAACTTGTGGCATGTATGTCCAAATAGCTTCCACCAGCTCTAAATGAGAGGTCTCAACACCCTGGATAAAAGGAAGCAAAGCAAATGCTCTAACACCAGTTCAAGCAACAACATCCTTTTAACTACATAAACTTCTCAGTAACACACTACACATAACGCAAGGCGTTATCTCACTTTAATTTCTAGCAAGACTTGTCCTTTTAAAAGCACAGGGATCAGTTTTAATTCATTTCTGGACTTAAGAGCACCTGTGACTCCCACTGGTGCAACTAAAAATAGTACTAATTAGCAAATAGGGTCACGATTAACTGCTCCTCTGTACAGCCAGGTCTGAAAACAAAGCCCTGTAAGCAGTAAGTCCCCATCACATTTCTTCTGCTCTGTTAACATGCACCATCTCTGCTGCTGAAGGAGGTTGTCTCTCGAGTCCAACCACTCACCAGCAAATTTGGACAGGCCTGCAGAGCCTCTAAAACTCCAGGAATGCTGAAAGCTTCATGGCCACGGACTCTGCGTCTTTCAAGATACCTGGGATGAAGACCATAAAGTTGTTCAATGTCTGGCATCTTCCTCAGCAGCGTTAGGAAACTGGAATCAGTGAAACCTAAGATGACAACAACAGATTTGGTATTTGTGTGACAGCAGACACTCAGCTGTAAAGGGAAAGCCAAATACACTGTTCTCTTTATGTGGCAGTATAAATTCTATGGTGTTGAAAGCTGTACTCAGTGAAGCAACAGCTTGTCTTTTACTTCCACATTTTAGAAATCATGGCCTACATATTCTTGGCCTAGAATTTTGCAGGTTTGCTACAGTTTTCCTCCAGTAGAATACAAGGTAAGTTATACTCTCTCCTTTCTCAGATGAAGGACCTCTGCAGACTGTCAGGCTTTGTGTCTCTATTTTTCGTGGAATTCCATTTATCAACTACATGGCTCAAAAAAGCCCCAGCTGGATCAGTTATATCTGTTCATCACTAGTCACCACAGCTCACATTTCTCAAAGAAACAAGATGGTTTCTTTAAGCAAAGATTTATTTTAATCTAATGTAAGAGAACACATAAAAAGGATTTTAAACAGGTAAGTCATCTTAGCCTAGCTCTAACCACCTGCCTGCTATCAGCTCTAATAAATCTCAGTTTTTAACTCCTCTGATTTTCAAATTCACTCATTTTAGTCTCTCCCCCAACAAATCCCAGCAGTGTGATTTAAATCCAACAGAAATCCTAATACTCACAGGGTTCACCTCGACTGACAAATTTATCTATTGATCTGAAGATGACTTGAGGTGTGACATCAAAACTTATTCTTACATTGTTAAGTGTTGGCAGATGAGTTGCTCTCTCATTCCATTGTATATTTTCCTGCCTGCATGCAAACAGCCTCTTCATGGAATAACCCTTGGATAAACTCCCTTACAACAATCAGACAAACACAGATTGTATTTACAGATGGCTACAGAGAATCCCCATTTCTGCTACAGTAATACCCAATATTTGTATTATACACACAGAGACAGAAACTTTCCAAACCACCTACTCAAGGAAGCCACCCAAATAAGCCAAAAGGAATGAAACATCCAAGTACTTTTACTGCTTTTGCAAATTTACTCTGCATGTATAAATGTCCCTCTAAGTGGCAGCAGAGCAGCCAGTGATGCTCAGGGTGTTTCTCACCTGTGGGCATGTACTCCCACCAGCGGCCTGCACACAGATCCACAACCTTCACCACCCGCAGGTACAGCGTCACCGCTTCCTTCAGCTTCCGGGACAGGCATTCCATGCACATGATATCCTGCAAGGGAAGGTACCTTTGGGGGAGGAAAAAACACCCCTCTGATTTATCGAAGCTGGATTCTTTTTGATTTTTTTTTTTTTTTTAACTAAAGCACATCCCAAGCCTGACTGCACAAACTCATGTATTTCTAGCGTGTGATAACGTTCATTTAAACAGAATTTTCAGACTGCGCTCAGATAAAATGTGATATTTTGCTAAGCAGAATGACTCATCAGTTTTTGACACTGAATTTAGTCTATTCAAGGTACACATATAATATTAAAACAGAGAGATGCTTTAGTTCTCTAATAAATTATAGAATTATAAAATGGTTTGGGTTGGGAGGGACCTTAAAGCCCATCCAGTTCCACCCCCTGCCATGGGCAGGGACACCTTCCACTAGCCCAGGTTGCTCCAAGCCCCATCCAACCTGGCCTTGGACACTTCCAGGGATGGGGTAGCCACATCTTCTCTGGGCAACCTGTGCCAGGGCCTCACCACCCTCACAGGGAGAATTTCTTCCTGATATCTAATTTAAACCAAACCAGATACTGCTGACCAAGCCATTTGCCACAGTAGTTGCTACACGGTTTAATTAAACCTACTTTCATTTTTTAGTACATTCTACACGCTCATTTTGCAAATATTTTGGAATGCTGTTGTTTTCAAAGAACTTGTTGAGAAAGCATTATGTTTTGGACACAACAGGGATGAGTAAACATTTTGGAGAAGGATTTTATTGTAGGGAAGATTAAATACTCATCCCAGTTCCCTTCTGCACACTATGAAGCAGATGCAACAATTTCAAAACAAGCATCTCAGCTATGCACCACCCAAGATGTATCTCTGCTCTAAAAATCCATGTCTATACACCAGTGAACAGAATTATATCAATTATTTATTTCTTCTTTGTTCTATATTCATGACACTCACATAAATTAATTTTCTAAGTATCCAAATGAACTCTGGAACTGAAAAAATAACATTTATCATCCCTTTTTATCCACCAGTTCACTTGTGGTACAGCCACACTTTCTGAATACTATGTGTCACCAGCATCAATGCAGGTAAGACTAAAGAAATAACAGAAAACTACATAACAATAAACAATAAATTGACTTCTAAAGAGCTGCTCACCTAAAGATGTGGCAAAGCACTTCATGAGAGAGTTGGTTCATGTAATCTTTTGGCTCATCAGCTTTGGTAGACTCAGAACCTTCCCTGTTTACTGAACTTGGTTTCACATTTTTCCGCCGGGGACCCATATTTGCACCAATTTCTGGTGGAAGGAAATGTTCACAATGTTATGAAATTCAGTGCAACTGAAAGAGAAAAGGGACAGAGTAGAGGAGGACACACCAGTTAAGCTGCAAAAATCAAGTTGTAGTTTGTTTAGCACAGGTCTCAGACACAACCTGACAATGATTAGACAAACCAGACAGTTCCCCTAAGCAAAGGGAAATGGACAAAGAGGAAAATCACCTCAGGTTCAACCAGAGATCAATTCTTTTGCAGGAACAAAAGGTCTTCAGAGATATCACCCTGTGGTCAAGACAAATCACAGGAAAGCTGTGCAGAAACTGCAGATGTCAACAAGTCAACACCAACTCGAACACTCCAGTGAAAAGAAAGCCCAAAGTCTCTGTCTAGCAGAAAAATTATTTATTTTCTTTTTGAAAAAAACAAATGGGCTCCTAAAATGCCTTCTCTCAAAAAATGCCCTATTACAAGTCCTCAAACTAGGTCCTCTTCGAGGTTAGAACACCAAATAAAATATTCAGGTTGCTTACTTAAAGATCAAAGCTGCAGAGAAACTGAAAGTCATTGCATCAGCAGCAACGTGCAGGAAATCCTGTCCTCCTTCCCTTCACTGAACTAACGTGTTCATGTCTACACTGTTCCTGCAGCACACATGGGCTGAAACAACACTAATGTTCCATTTAAAAACATACAAAATTATTAAGAGAAATAATAAGTAAGTAATTAAATATGAACTCAGTGCTAATATGAGAATAACATCTTATACAGATGTTGAGAGACATTTTCACAACTGTATCTAGCAAATATTTATTTTACTCTAACATAAGACAATGTAAAACAACGTTAAGATCAGAACAAAAATGCTCTCTGGTGAAGAGGGCAAAGCATCACTAACTCAGTAAACCTGTTTAACAGGTTGAATGCCAAAATTCAGTGGATGAGGAAAAACAACTTGTAAAGAAAAGACAGGTTTTGGAAAACTTATCAGCAGAGCCTCTGGTACAGCCTTCACTGTGATGTAAACACACCTCAGTGTTTGCACCACATTATGTGGAAGTGGCAACTGAGGAGGAAAACAAAATATCTCATGGAAACGGAAAAAATTTTGCCTTCTCCAACACAAACCATTTATATGCTGGCACAAAATTTGAAACATTGACAGCCTCTCTGTGATCTAATTGTTGAAAAAACACATGACTTTACACATTTTTGTATGCATTTTAAGTTAACAGTTGTATGCTGTCATGAATTTTAAACAGTGATATTAAAATAAATAAATTACCACCTTCTCCACGTAAATACCATGAAATATATCTCTGCTCCTTTGGATTGGTGGGAATTCTCCAGCCAGAAGTAAAGACACTGAGTTTGTTGCCTGTTCTTATACTGCCCTTCTTTTTGGTGCTCCCTGGAAGGGGTCAATTTGTTTGTAATTCTCTGTTGTAATGTTGATCAACTTCATGAAGCCTAAATCTGACTACTTATGACACTGGATTCCAAAGAAAACAAGCATTACATGGATTCCCAGTCACCTGGGATGACTCAATTTGAACAGAGGGCAGGATATAACCTAAAAAATTCCAGACTGCTGCAGCCACGTGCTGGAGTGCAATACAGCATTACAGAAAAGTAAAAGGACTGTGACATAAGACAGAGAAATAAAGATAATATCCAACAGGGCAGAAAGAATCCTGTAAGACACAAATTCAACAAGTAATACCTGTCCCAGGTTTGGCCCCTGTCATTAAGTAAAGGGGGAAAAGAACGACCTCATCCCTATGAGGACGCAGTTTGTGCACAATAAATGCTCCTCCTGGTACTATTTTGAGCTAACGAGCACAGCTTTAGCGTCTCATTCTACATTACCAAGCTGACCCCATTAAAAAATTAAATAAAAATTAAAAAATCTGCACAATAAAAACCCCTTATATATGCAATCCAGCTGGCAAACGGAATTTTGCTGCCCCCACCTCAGTTAATTCACGAGAATGAATGCTGTAGGAAACAGCAGCTCGACGTGCCGTGTTCTTGATCAGTAGCTACCACACTGAACTTAAAAAGCTTAAAAAACCACGGGCAGACCGCACAGAAAAGAAAAATGTGGAGAGAGCAGCCAGGGACGGCCTGGCAAGCATGAGATAAGTAGGGGCGCTCCTTATGGGGAGGGGAAAAGAGAGGACAGGCTTGTTCTTGCTGAGATAAGCGATACAAAAGCAGGTTTCCCCGCAGACCAGGCGCCGCCGCTCCCTCAGCGCTGGGGGCTCCCTCCCGGCTCTGTCCCCGTCCCTCAGGGCCTGTCACAGCGGGCACGGCGCGAGGCCGCGGGGACGGGCGGCGGCGGCCGCGAGGAGGGCGGCGGCGGCCGCGAGGAGGGCGGCAGCCTCCGGGTCACCGCCCGCCGCGCCCCGGGGGCTCAGCCCGGTTCGCCTCCCACTCACCGCCCCGCAGCCCCTCACCTGCCCCGCGCAGCCCCGGTGTTGTGGCCGCGGGTGAGCCCCGGCCGCCGCTTCCTGCGCGGCCTCTTCCGCCTCCGCCTCGCCCCGCTCCCACCGCCCCTTCCGGGGGCCGCCACACCCGCCCCGCCGCCATCTTGAGCGTGGCAGCGCGGGCCGTGCCCCCGCCGCCATTTTGGGAGTGGCGCCGCCTCGGGGCGTCCCGCTCGGCGCCGCCATGTCGGTGGTGGCTGAGCCCTGAGGGCGGTGAACGCCCGCGCTGCCCTGAGAGCAACTAATGAAACCCACTAGAGAGCTTGGTGGGGAGTTGTGGCACGGCAGCAGGAGCGCCCGCGCGGCGTGCCCTTGGCGTTCTGTGGGTTAGGGCAGTTTGTAGGCTGAGGTCGCGCAGCACACACACAGAAAGGAATGCAATTTTTTAAAAATTATATTCCAAACCACTGCTGTAGAATCATAGTATGTCCTGAGTTTGGAGGGACCCACAAGAACCACAGGCGGTCGAGCTCTGAGCAACCTGGTCTAGTGGGAGATGTCCCTTCCTATGACAAGGGTAGAATGGCATGGGCTTCAGTGTCCCTTCCAAGCCAAACCGTTCTGGAATTCTGTGATCATCCAGTCCAACTCCTGGTTCTGCAGAGGACACACCAACAATCCCACTATGTCCCTGAGAGCGTTGTCCAAACACTCCTTGAGCTCTGGCAGCCCTGCGGCTGTGACCACTGCCCTGGGGAGCCTGTTCAGAGCCCAACCACTCTCTGGGGAAAGAACCTTTTCCTAATATCCAACCTAACCCTCCCCTGACACAGCTCCACCTGTTCCCTGGGGTCCTGTCACTGGTCACAGAGCAGAGATCAGAGCTGCCCCTTGTGAGGAAGCTGCAGAGCCTGGGGAGGTCTGACCTCAGCATCCTCCCAGAACAAGCCAAGTGCCCTCAGCTGCTCCTTGAGGGCCCCTCCAGAACCTTCACCATCCTCCTGTCTCTCCTTTGGACACTCTCTAATAACTTTATAAGTGATACATTACCTGAAGAGGCTTTAACCTGCCCCAAGAGCTCTGAGAGTTGCCTTTGCCACGGTGTATTGAGCATTATATGGGTCTATTATTTAGGCCATTTATCTTCTGCTAGACAAAGAGGAAATTTTGCTACTTTCATGATTTTTTGCAAGGAAATTCATAATATTTGAAACTGAAGAAAGAGGAAAACAGCGGCTGAAAATCAATTTGTTAAATTTGTTCAGGTATGAGTCCAAAAGACCAAAACTCATTAGGTGCATTAGCACAAGTAAGGAAGGTGTCATGATTTAACCCCAGCCAAATTTATTATAGCACTGGCATTTTTTTTTTTTAGGAACTCAACTATCTGATTTTCAGGCCTGTATTTCATTCCTTGTCTTAGAAAGGAAAACAAAAAAAATTTAAAACCTTACTATGAAAACCCTGTCCTCCACATATAAATGCATCAGGTATATACATCACATGTACAGATGTATCAATGCTATCAGTACCTTTTTGATGCAGAGTTTGGAAAACTCTAATCCTCCATGAGTGCAAGATCTTTTCTGTTTTCCATTCAACACCAATATCTGGCTCCCTCTATTTTATTTTCCAGCAAGCAGGACGTGAGCTTGTTTCACCAGCTCACTCAAGCTACGTACATTTTTCCTTCCCCTTATTTCCATGTCATTACTCCATCACACAAACTCGACTGTCCAGATTGTCCAGCCACTTCAGCGTTTACTTCAGCTGTCATTTGCAGCAATTTGCAAATGGTGTTCTTTGTGCTGGTATGCGGCAGAAGCTGCTTTTCATTATCTGCAGCTATGGGCCAGCAGGAGCTCATAAAAAGCACTCAGTGTGGGAAAGTCTTGATCTCCAGATGGCCTTGTCTCAGATAAATCACATCAGAAATTATCAGATACAAATGAGAGTCTCAGAAGTGTGGTTTAGACCTCTGACTTACAGCTTCTTGAATCATTCTGGAGGATGTGCATAGCAAATTTTGCATCTTAGGTTTGGCCCAGAAGCGCAGTTAAATATCTCAACATACTAAAGCAGAGGGTGTGAATATCCACTTAGGCTGTAACTAGCTGAGCTAGAGGGCAGAAAGTATTCACAAATTGTCTGCTGGATTTTCTGACATCACGAGGAAAGCCCAAAGTTTGCCCTTGTTTTCTCAATTTGAACTTTCTTTTCTTATTTTTATCCTTTTTTCAGTCAAGATGACCTGTTGTGAGAACCTCTTTAGGTAGACTGTCCAGAGCCACAAGCCTCTGAGCTATGAGAAACTTCTACCTTTCTCATTGCATTCCTGCTGCCTAATTGCTGGGACCTGGTTTCCATATAAACAGAATTCATGACACAGAATTCTGTGTCCAGCAGTTCCAAAATTTTCCTCCTGTGTAAGCCCAGTGAAGTCAGTCATTCATCATTTTAATTCTGGGAAAATGGATTCCCATGACCAACTATTCAACTGTAAAAGACACAAACTGGCTTAATAATGAAGAAAATAAGGATGTAAGGCAGAACAGAAATTTCTTTAGGTCTAAAAGCCACCAACTTATCAGAAGTGAAAGGAATCATTAATGATCACATTTAAATGACAGGATTTAACAAAGATACTGCTCTGAAGCCTATACAATCTTACAGTGTACCAGATTTGATTCATTTAAAGGAAAAAAAAAGAGGCAGATTGAATGGTAAATTTCAGTAACATGAGGCCATCTAGTGGAATACAACTTTTGTCTTCCAGTCTTAGATTTTTTTACCTCTGGACTTAGTCCCTGCTCCACAATAGTTTTCTGTAACTTGGGAAATACTTGTTTCTAATGGATGCAATAAACTTATTCTCTAGGAAGTTCACCATGGACAAAAGCAAAAGAGTTAATGTTTATTTTAATAAACACGCTAAACAACATAAATGAATCAGAATCGCACACAGATAAAGGAAAAATAAGCATTTAAAATTTAGCTTCAAAACTGGAAGAGTCAAAGCACTACCTAAGTAAGCTGAAACCTTTGGAAAAAGGTATCTGCTAAAATTTCTGGATAAGTGGAAGAAAACACTTTATCAACAAGGGGAAGAGAAGCCATGCCTGCACTGACTTGTGTCCACTCAGATCAGGTGGCATTGTCAGAAGATTTGAACTTTAACTTTGTAGACCAATGTATAATGAAGGGCTCATGTAAAACCAACTTTCCTCCTACAGGAACAGGAATGCTCCTGAGAATCCCAAGCAAGTGCATTTCAGGGAGGACAGAAGTGTCAATCCCAGCACTTTGGAGTGGAGCAAAGCAGCAAATGAGAGAACACAGGTGAAAAACAGATTTTATGCTTTGTTTGCCACCGTCAGCACAGGCAGGATGAATGAAATCCAATTAAGAGACTGTGGTAGGGCAGTGTGAAGCTGTTCTCAGCACTCTTCTGTCATGCAGAGCTCCTTCAGCAGACCCCTACTTGCTTCACACGTAAGGCACCTCTACTTCTCCTGTAAAGGAAGGGAAGAACATCAATATTGCAGATAGAAAGCTCAACGTCATGCACTGAAATCTCTCCAAAGCCCTTTGCTAACAACTTGCTAACAGAGAAGACACCATAAACATTTGTAGCAGATGTGAGGGCATTGATCTGTAAACACCTTTCCTTTGAAAATTATATATTTTATCCATAAAAAGCAAGGTATTTCCAGTACCACTTGTGAATTATATGACCCAAGCTAGGTCTAGGTACCATGTTTGGCCTGTGTTGCTCATTGGAGTCTTCTCCTTACTGTCCAGCTTCTACAGTTTCTGCTACAATAGGAAGTTGCTCACACAAATATCAAAGTCATTTGTTTAGACCAGTTGGACCTTATAGGCAGGAGAGGCAATTAATCTGTAAAGATTAAGCAAAGGAACAGAAAACTAGCGACCCTGAAAAAAAAATGATAGCACTTAGGTGGAATGGAAATCCCAGATAATTCAGCTAACCTCAGATTTTGGCTAATTCAGGAGTAATTAGGTAGAGCTGTACTTACAGGACTGCTTTGCAGAAAGAACATTTGTTGTTATATGTTTTTCCATCAGAGCCACAGAAGGGTTGATAGAGTCTTTCACAGTAAATGGGTTTTCCTCTCTCTAACCTCCTGTATTCACTGCAGTCCACCTGCAAATAGAGTGTCATTTTTCTTTGAATCCATCTTTCTCACATTCTCCATTCACCTACAGAAATAATGAATGTATGACATTTTTGGACGCGCTTGTCAGCTGCTCTAGAGCAGTGCAGTCAATGAGGCTTTGCCATTTGTATTAGCTGAGCCTAAGCCTCAAAATAGAAATGTTCCTTATCACAGAGATGTGTGTGATGATGCCTGTGACACACACTGAGCACCTTTAAGGACTGTGCTCTCCATCTGAATAGCATTACATTCACTGGAAAAAATACAGTTACAGAAAAGTTGAGTATTAGTACTTTTTTCTAGCTGATTGCAATGGTTAGTAAATTCAGGTGAGATTACTTCTTGAGGCTTTCTCTCTCTTTATTGCACAATATCAGCTCTTGATGCTTTTTACACTGGGGGAAAGTTCTGCCCAGGTGAAATTACAGTCCTGTTTAAGTATTGGCATGAAAAGGAATTGTTGGAGGCCTCATCTGATAGCGGGACTGTATTCATTACAGACTTAGCCATGAAAATGGGACTACAAATGTCCAGTTGTTTCTTGAACACCTCCAGGGATGGTGACTCCACCACCTCCCAGGGCACCCCCTTCTGATGTTTGCCATCCCTTTCCATGAAGAAAATCCTCCTGAGTTGTGCTAATATGGACCCAGCTCTGTGTGTGGGTGATTTTTCATTCCCCACTATTCATCACTGGACTCTGAAAGGTGTTGTCCCTGCTCATCCAAATAAGGATTCTTTTTTCTTGGTGTCTCATTTCTTTCAGAGGTTGACCCCAGGATGACTCCAGCATAACCAGAGAGAAATTAAAACCTCCAAGTGCTGGACTTGGGACCTGAAAGTCATCAAGAAAGACTTATAGTGTCATAATCAGATAAATATTTTTAAAAATCTAGATTTCTCTGACTTAAAATTTGTCCTTGCCCAGTTTCTTGCCTAGAATACATAACAGGTAAAAACATCTGGAAGTTGTCAGGGCAACTGTATGAAAACCACATATCTCAGAGTTGGGGATTTCTCACTGAAATCTCAATACATGGCTAGCAATTAATTAAAGTTTAACATGTTTGGTTTTTTCCTGACCTCATGTTGTTACAAACTATATAGTTTTATCCAGAAATAAAGAAAATTACTCACTTCATTCTCTTTGTCAGCATCTGCAATAAAACAGAATCACAAAGGATAAAATAAAAACCACAGTTAATGAACACGCAGTTTCAAATCAGGATGATTTCATTAGTCTCAGCCCTTCCAGCAACACCAAATCTCTTAACTCCTTGAAATAAATACTGACAGAGCTTTTCAGTGTTTAATAAGACACAGGTGTCAGAACCTATTAAACAAGTGGACATTATTCTAGTATTTACCTCAGAAACCTCTGTTAGCTGCTAGGACAGCCTCTGTTGTAGAAGCAACTGGAGCTATTGTTCCCCCTTTCACCACAAAAAGATTGAAACCCCAGAAGTCAATATTATATTCAATGGCCAGTCTGTTCAGGATCAACTGGTTGTTGAGCATGACTGGGTTTTATTTTAATTCCTAAGTTTGTAAAAAGAGTTGTATGTGGTTGTAAGAAAATCATGTGTTCCTTTTATACTTTGATTTTCTGTCAATAATGAGGATAAAACTTCATTAAACTATAATATTAAATATATGTAATAATGATAATCCAATTTGGATCATAATACCACTTTAAAAAGTGATTTCCTTTGCTGGTCAATACAGATTCTAAACTGATTGACTCCTATTTTGTACACACACGGCATCTGATAGAATGGAACCCTGTTCCGAGGCGGGGCTTCAAGGAGCTGCTTCAAACAATGCTAATTACACCTCCCAGAAAGTAATCAAGTGCCATTGGCATGTCTCCATTATGGTGACACATTTGTTACTTTCTTTAGGAATGTGTTTGTTCTCCTGTCCTGTAATCATCATCCTTGGGGATTGCAAAGGGTAAAAGTTATCAGGCAGAGACTTCTGTGCAGAAGGAGCAGCAGGAAAATTTGTTACAGCAGTACAGCTCTAGCACTTGTCTTTTGGACTAAACGTGGCTTTTTCTGATCTTTAAAACCATTAAACTTTCCACTGGAAGTTCCTTTCATGGAGCTCTTTACATCGTCTCATCAAATAAAGTTGTTCAACATAAAGAAAACAACCATAAATAGTGCTCCATGTCAAATTTCAATCTGTGTCACCAGAGGTTTGACAGTTTTCATTATTCTGGAGTTGGGTTAGATTTAATCCACTTCCCCCAAAACATTAGCATGTTATTTTTTTCTCCAGTAACCTTTTAATAGCCACTCTGCATATGGGAGTGAATGCAAAGAGATGTCGCTCAAAAAGTAGTGATTCATAAAGTTTTAACGTAGACAGGATAAACTAAGAAGTTCAAGGAAAAGATTTCCTGGAATTCTTATGGAAGTAATATTTATTTATTATTCTGCAGTAAATGAAACACTGAAAGAATAGTTTCTGTCAAATCATGCAATTTCATTGAAATTGTTGTTCATAAGCATTTTGAATTTGAGACAATTTTCAAAGCAACCCTTTCAGACCTATTCAAAATAGAAAAATATTAATTTGTTTCATAATTTTGGGTTTAATATTATTATTATTTTGCTTCTTTAATGTTCTTAATGCTTTTGAACTTCCATACTCCAGCAGAAATGTGGACTCTCAGTTATCTTAAATGTACTAACTTATAAGTATATATTTTACTGCAAGTTTTTAGTAAAAATAAAAATACCAAGTAAAGGCTGAAGAAATTCCTCCCAGCTCCCTATTTTATCACAGAGCAACTTGCCCCTCAAAACTCTCTGCAGCCTGGCAGACTAACAGTATGAAGAGGTGGTTTACAGCTGTATTATGTGTCCTGTGCATAATCAACTGTCCCCTGCGTGGTCAGTTTGGCAGGAGAAGGACCTCATCAGCTCCAACCTCCCTTCTCAGACAAAATTTAGAAATAAGTAGGTAAACCCAGCTGTAGTTCTGAGGCTTTGCAGTTCTTTTTAGTCACAGTGCAGAATGCAGCTCTGATTCACGCCACCACCAAGGAATAGGTTTCATCCACTCAAGTGGGCAACTGTACAGCTGGTACAATAGTGTTTGATAAATAGAGCACAAGGCTAAAATTTCACTTTCTGTCTCCCACCCAGCTCCAGGAACCATTGCTCGCTGTCCCAACACACTGAGAAACTTGCAGTCTTTAGACATAAGAGCTATAATATATTAGGAAATACAGGAGGTTACTCACTTGCCAAGCAAAGAACTGCCAGAGCGAGGAGCACAAAGACTCCTGTTGTCTTCATGGCAAACAGGGGTTCTTGACCTGTTCCACAGCCGGTCTGTCCTTCAAGTATTCCAGCACGTTTAGCTCCAGTGTGTGTCCATGTGTCTGTGGGAGCAGATATTTATATACACATGCACAAGGAGCAGGAACCCTGGTGATGAAATCCTCTCACACAGAACATAATTAGAAGAAGGTGTTGCCCGTGTAGTGTCAATAGAATGTCTTCTGTATAAGGTGAAGGTCATGAGTGTCCTAGCATGGATTGTGTTGATAGAGCAGATGTATTGTTCCTTGGCTAAGCCCCTTGCCTAATTAACTGTTCCATCTCTATCAGCAAGTCCAATGAGTGACTCAGTAAGGTGGTTACTTGTTGCTGGTCTGTTATTGCTTGTTGACTCTTAAAGATGAACATAATTCCCAGGGGAAAAATAATTCTTACTGGGTGTGTTCTAAATTCTTGCTGTTCTATCCCAGTAGAGCTAAAGTCCTTAATTCCTGTGGTCTTGATGTTTTGGAGCTGCCTGTAACCTCTGTTTAAGGGCAATGCTGATTACTATGGCTGTGCACTGAGCCCCTCTAGGCTGCTCTGGAAAAGAATGTTTCATTTGAACACCCTAAACTTCACAAAAAGCCCAGAGAATCCTTCAGTGTTCCAGTGTTCTCCTTCCTTTAAAATTCTGACACTTTAGAGATGAGGCTGTGAGAGGCAGAGCAAAGATACCACATGGCACTGCCTGGCAAAGAGCAGGGATGAGTTCAGAGCCATTGGGCATCCTGCTGAGTTACTGCCTGGTCTGCTGTCATGGAGGAGATTATTCTGCCTGCCCCTCTTCTCCTATTTTCCTATTTCCAGCACAGTAGGAGGGATTCTTTAAAAAAATCCAACATACCATTGTATTAGTGACTTAATCAATAGGCATCATTTTCTATCTTTTATAATACAGCTCAGATCAGGGGGAGAATCAGATCCGAGGCCTAATTTTCATAAAGTTCAAAGTGATGTGGAGTTTTGAGCCGATAGTTTGGTTTGAACCCATTCCTCCAAAATCATCTTGTCTTAGTGTAGTTGTGCAAATTGTCTCGATAGGAAAGATCCCTGCACACTACTACAATTCACAGTATTTCAGGATCACCTTCCCTCACTGCAAGGAATTGGGGCCATATGTGCTAATTCCGGGAAGACGGAGGGGACTGAAAGTTCTTACAGAAAAGGTTGTAATAGGTTGAGTAGACCTTGGGCCCCACTAATTTGTCCCAAGAAGGATAAATATCATCTTGTCTTTAAGGATTATAGGTAAGTATTAAATGGCTAATTTCTCATCGCTTCATGGGATGAAAAATATAAATGCCATCAAATTCAAGTTCCAGGATAGGTAAAGATCTGGTTTGAGCTGGAGCCCTGTAATACAATGCCTTTACTTCAGTGATTTAATATTTAATTTTCCTTTGTTCTTAACTTGGACACCTGTATACATTCCTTTGAAGTTGAGATCACAAGAGACAGGCTGTCTGGGACAGGCTGACTGGGATCAGTCTGGATTCTTCTGCTTTGGGATGTCACTGAAGTTTTTGTACTGTAGAGTCCAAAACCTTTCTGAAGAGCCTGGCAAAGAGCATGTACAAACTCGTGGAGAGTGTCCAGGACATGTTCATTGGTTGATGGACAATTACCAACATTAGGCAACAAGAGCAAAACCCAAAGCAAGCCGGAAGTTACTAATAATCTGAATAGTTTTGAGCAAACAAGACTCTTGAGGAAATCTTGAAACTGTGAAACTGCAGCTTGACAGAACACACCGGTTCCTTGACACTGGAATGAGGAAATCTGCCACTCTGGTTATGCTCTCTTGTTCTAATACAGTGCTCCACAGTGTCCTGTTTGATGCAACCTCAATATCCATCCCATCCCGCCAGCAGAAGAGTATAAACATCTGCTTCAGGTCTGCTAAGTTGATGTAGGAATCTTTTCTGAGGCTAGTGCAGGAAGAGATGACTTTTGGAGGTGGGAGGGGACCAAAAAGGGAGGCAGATTTTAAATGAGATTTTTCTTAGCATTTGAAAGTTACTTTTGTATTGGAAGGATTCCTAGTGCTTATTCTGTGCTCCATATCAGGAAAGCCATGGGGTGAATGTTTTTTTCTGGTAATATTTAGGTGTATTGTTAGAGCTTTTGAATCAAATAAAGATTCATTTCCTGAACAGTGGACCTTAAACTTTGTAGGGCTTGCCTAGACCTCTTAGATAGGAGGGACATAGTTGTGATGAGAGGCTGTGATATATTGTAGGGTGTGCAAACAGCAGCTCTTTCACAGCAGGGGCTCAGCTGAAATTCTGGAGATTTTTGTGTTTTGGAATATCAAAGCTGTCTTAGAGCTTTGGGAAGAAAAATGCCCTACTCAGAGAGCAACAGTCTGTTTCACTTTCTGCAGTGAGGTGTTACTCACATGCAGAATCTCAAACTGAAACTTGGTAAAGAGTAATGGCACAGAACACTTACTGCAACTTCAGTTTAGAAGGAGACTAAAGTCTCTGGATCTCTATTCCTTGCTTTGAAAATGGGCAGAATTCACATCAGCCAACTAGAGAAAATAGTCACTATTTGACTGAAAAAATGCTTTATCTGAGGCATCTTTCTTGTCCAAACTTGTTGTTTGCCCTGGTAGCTCTTTACATGGAGCTGGTCTGACAACCTGAGGCCTGTCATCCTCAGGCAGACTGAAGATTCACTTAGATCAGAGTGCTGTGCTCAAGAACTTCCAGTGGCATACTGGGAAGAGAACAGTTTTCATGGTGTGCAAGTTGGACATGAGTCAACAGTTTGCCCCTGTACTCAACAAGTCCAGCTCTGCATGCTGGGCTGTATTAGTAAGAGTGTAATTATCAAGTTCAGCACTGATGAGGCTGTATCTGGCATTCTGGGTACAGTTTTTGGCTCCCTGGCACAAAAAAAGGCACTGAAATACTGGATCAGAACCAGTGAAGGACCAACAAAGTGTTTAGAGGGATCAAATGTGTGTCATGCTAGAAAAGCTTGAGGGAAGTGGTTTGACCAGGTTGGAGAAAGACAGCAAAGTCTCGTTGTTTTCAGCTGCTCTTTCGGGACGTGCAGAGAAGACAGGAGCCAGAGTCTTCTTGGAGGTGCACAGTGAAAGGAAGAGACAGAACAGTGCAAATTGCAGCAAGAGAAATTCTAATTAGATATGAGGAAAACAAATTTCACAATGAGAGTAGTCAACAATAGGAACAGGTTATCCAGAAATCATTTGAGATACTAAAAAATGGATCTGTTCTGAACTGACCATAATCTAGTGATGGGTGTGGGTGTGGGGAACCAGGTGACCTCCAATGGTCCATTCCAAGGGAACTGATGCTGTGATTCCCACAGGAGAATGTCAAGTGTTGCTGACAGGCAGCTGCTCAGGGACTTTGTGGCATATTTGTCCTTATGAGTTAACATTTGACAAAGCAGACACAGACAGTAGATTAGCACAATGGATTGATTTTATCTACTTGGAAAACATGTTGTTTGTTGGAAAACAAATGTTCAGATCTGTTTAGGAATAGCTGCTTCCCGGAGCTGTGTCAGTAAGGCCTCTTCATCATACCTAAAACTAGTTTAGAAATTTATAGGAAACACTCTGTATTGAAGAATAGTGAGTGAAATTTTGACCTAGTCAGCAAACTCGTGAATATGTGTAGGTTAATTGTGGGCCTCTCATAGTTTTCTACCTTTATCTTTTTCTACCTTTATCTTCATATCTTGTCTTTTTATCTCTTCAAGTTGATCTTTAGAAGAAGAAAAAGTAATTACATGGTGCTACATCTGGTAAAATATTAGTGCATATTTTTCCAAGAGTAGGACAATTCTTCACAATTATTCATATATTGCTTTTAGATTTGGAGTGCTGAGTGGAGCACGAATGGGATGCCAAATATGCTGCTGCAGCACGTCATTAGTTAAGTACCTGCTTTATTCTGCATGGGAGGGTGTTCTGTGGCTGCATTCCAGAACAGTAACCTGTTCCTATTCATCTGATGGAGTGCCTCCCATTGAGGACACCAACAGTGGTGAAAAAATGGCACGTGGAATAGCTAATAAAAATATTCTCACGCACAGCACATAGACCTTTGAAGAATGCACAAGCCAAGATAGACCCTGCCATGGTCACCTGCGTCGGTGATTCCAGCGCGTGTTTACTCGGGACGCGGCTCGCGGGCTCCCTCAATCCTGCTCTGGGTGGGTGGTTTGGGTTGTCCGCCCATGTGCAATTAACATATCAGACTTTTGAAGTCTTGCTCAATGGAAGATTTGAGAATCAAGTGATGTGTTTGTTAAGGCATCAAACTGGGCCAAAACAGTATTTGCCTGAAGGAAGGTGAGTTTCCCATTTTCCACACCTTAAGAGAGATCAAAGGAGCCTTTCTTTAACACTGCAGGTGTCAAGGCAGGACAGATCCCTGCTGAAGGTTTCAGGTGTTATTTCAGAAAGTAAAAAATAAACCCAACACCTCTCTACAAAGACTGGTGCTGAGCTTTAAATTTTTCTTTGTATCTTCTGATATCTCTAAGATACAATACAAGGATGTGATCCTGTTATCCTGCAAGGAACTGGTGGATCCTTCGAGTTACTTAGTGCCATACCATTGATAGTTCTGGATGGATTCTTCACAGGTAAAACAAAACAAGCATTAACAGCTTAACACTTACACTGAGTGTATTGAATAGGACTTATTTTAAATTGCCTTAAGATGCAATTCCCAGGTGTTCAGCACTTTGAAGTTTGGTCACACTGAACTCAGTCAAACTGACATGTTTGAAGCAAGGTTTCTTTTAAAGTTTTTTCATGTCTCAGAACAAGGTTGGAGGGTATAGACTGGGTTTGCCTGTATTAAAAATACCATTACTTTTATAAAAGAGAATATACAACTTAAGAAAAGGGATAGGATGAAGGTCAGCATGGAAGAAGGGATGGATACTAAGCATTTGGACCTGAAATCTGTATTCTCCCACAGAACCCTTAATTAGACATAAGCCTTTTTTCCCCCTTTTGCTACTAGCAAGTGCCTGCTTGCCCAGCTGAAGCACTTAGAGGATAGCAAGTTCCTACTGTAACCAATTAATGCCTCATTAAGGACACCAACTATTTGTCAAGCATTCCGTAAGATGAGGAGCACCCACAAAAAGCCCTGAAGGGAATTAGTCAGTCTCTGTTCAGTGGAGATTTAGGG